CTCAGACCAAACACTTGACACTTACTAGCTGTGTGACCCTGGGCAAGTCACTTAACCCCAATTGCCTAAAAAAAAAAAAAAAAAAAGAGGGAGTGGTTAGGTGTAAGCCTAGGTTAGTGCTCCTAGGAGACATGATGGAGATACAGTCATTTGGGAATGTTTGATACTGATTCAATTCCTTGTTAGTACCTTGCTATTTTATTTCCTTTGATGCTTTTTGTCTTCACTTTTATATGCCATGTGACTTGGGCTTAAGATTTCTTCTTCTTCTGAGATACATTGGTGGGAGCTAAGAGCTAGTGCCACAAACTAGTGTGCAAATGAGGAGGGGCCTACATTGAGGGGGCCTAGGTTTACAACTCTATCTATCTATCTATCTATCTATCTATCTATCTATCTATCTATCTATCTATCTATCTATCTGTCTCTTCAGATGTGCAATGACCACAATTGAATGCTAGGAGGAAATTAGCTAGATTCCATTAAGGACTCAAACTCCTGCAATAGCCTGTTTCTTTAATATCAGTCTGTCCCCACTGATGCTATATGGTTGTGAATCAAGGAATACTGTGGTTCCAGAATAATCAAAATTACCAATAGTAATAGAAAGATAAATAGTGACCATAAATAGGCTTAATTGTGTTATCAGTTGTTAGGGACAAGTCATAGAAAAGATATCATGAAGGACATATATGACTGGAAATAGGGATAGGCTAATCATTTGGTGAGAGTGAGAGATGATGGATAAGCTACTTGACTCAGACTCTCATTTCCCTTAAGACAGTAGAATTAGAGGAAGGCATTTAGTGCTTTGGGTAGATCCTCTCTGAAAGATTTGTGGAGAAATAAGGGATATAAGATTTAGAGGTAGAAGGGACCTTATCTAGCCTCATCTCATCACTTTGCAGATAAAGAAACCGAGACCCAGGAGATGAAACGGGTTACAGGTTACCCTATGCAGGAAGTAAGTAGTAGAATTAGGGTTCAATTTACTCAATAACCGAAGTTCTTTCTACCATGCCATCCTGCCCGAGAATCACACAAATAGTAAGTACACCATCTCTGTCTCTGGGACCATAGGACCATGGAAGTCACAAAAACTAGAAGCAACTCAGGACTCAATTGGCCCAACTCCTCAGGTTGGTTTGCCGTATTTGGATATACATAAAGAAAGTGAGGCCAGAGGAGGTTAACGACTTTCCTGAGGACATACAAGGTAAGCAATGGGTGGGACTTGGAGGGAGGTCTTCTAACCTCAGAGTCAGGGCTCTGGTCACTGTACCAAACCATACCCAAACCATGTTTCCTCATCAGTCCCTGAGATCCAGAATTGGGTATTGTATTTAATTTAGTTTCTCATGTCTTTTAGCTTTGTTTTTGGTAAGAATGGAAATTTCTTGAGAGTGTTTCACTCCTGTCTTTGTGTTCCCGGAGCCTGGCACCTAGTGCATTCTTAATAAATGTTTGTTGATTGATTAGTTTTCATTTGTGTTATCATAGTCATGTATTTTACTCTCTTAATCTCTCTCTCCTTTTCTTTTTTCCTCTCATTCTATCACTCTCACTCATCCTCTCCTTTATTTCTCTCCTTCCTTCCTCCCTCCCTCTCTTTCTTTCTTTGCCCTCTCCTTTGTTTCTTTTTCTCTTTGTTTCTCTCCTTCCTTATCCTCTCCTTTGTTTCTCTCTTCTTTCCTTCCTTCCTCATTCCCTTCTTCTTTCTTTTCTCACCCTCTTCTTTGTTTCTCTCTTTCTTTTTCCTTCCTTCCCTCCTCTTTCTTTTTTGGTAAGGCAATCGGGGTTAAGTGACTTGCCCAGGGTCACATAGCTAGTAAGTGTCAAGTGTCAGAGGTCAAGTTTGAACTCAGGTCCTTTTGACTCCAGGGTCAGTACTCTATCCACTGTGCCACCTAGCTGCCCCACTCTTTCATTTTTTCTTTCTTTCTTTCTTTCTTTCTTTCTTTCTTTCTTTCTTTCTTTCTTTCTTTCTTTCTTTCTTTCTTTCTTTCTTTCTTCCTTCCCTCCTTTCTTCCCTCCCTCCTTCCTTCCTACCTTCCTTCCTTCCTTCCTTCCTTTCTTTCTTTTCCTCTACCTTCTCATACCACTATCTTGGGACCTCACCAAATTATTCTGATCATGTCATTATGTCATTTCTTTCCCTTCCCCCACCCTCACGACTTTTTTATAATCTGCAAGTCAGAAGAAGATAGGTACTATTGTTCTCACTAAAGAATATCATGCAACAAAAATTGCCTGAATCAGCTCCTTTCTGTCATCTTTACATTTTTCGTATTCTCTTTAGGCATTTGCTGCTTTTCAGGTTCACCCATTGGCTGCCATGAAGGAGGCAGGCTTCAGATCATTCGCTTCTAGACAGCTACATGCCTCCTTTCTTCCCCCTGCAGAATCTCATTTTTATGATTTCTTCTCCACACTCCTAACCTTGTTATAGGAGGGTGGTTTATATTCTTTCTTCCTCCTGCTTCAGCAGCTCCCATCTCAGGCTCAGCTGCCATTTCATCTGTTTACTCCCTCTCCTCGGGCATTAATAAAGATGTTAAATGAGAGCAGACCTAGCACCAACCCCAGGGCACCCCTGAAGACAGCTCCTACTCCCCCATGGATAATTGCTATTTATTGGGCTGCTTTGTTTATGGTCTTTTAGCCAATTGTAATCTAGTGCCTTCCCGACCTTACTTTAACTGATTTCACAAAGGGAATTCTCAGGAGACACCAACTCCAAGGCTTAGTAATGTCAAAATAGAAGAGAACCTACTTCATAAACACCGAGTTGAGGTACCTTGAAGTGATCTGTGTCTGCCTTTGGTCCTCTGGGACCCCCGGTGCTGGGACAATTGAACAATAGCATCTCCTTGTGCAGTTTGCCTGGCTCAGTTCTACTTCTCCGTGGCACTTTTCTCAGGTACCTTTCACAACCCTTCTCTCTAAATCCTCAGCACTCTTTCATTTTCTCCTGGCAATAACCTTCTAATTTAGACCTTCCCCACAATAGACATAATAATATCCTCAGTTTTTCAGATTAGGAAATTGAGGAGTAGAGATTAAGTAATTTGCTTACAGGAATGAGAAAAGTCTCCTGACTACTATCAAATAGTCACGATTCTACCACTGTGGACTCAACATCTCTTGACTCCTCCAAGTCCTGGAGGAGTTTGAACGAAGGCTTTGAACTTTGAGTTCAGTTTTCTTTTGGTTGGAGCTCTTCTTGTGACTTCTTAATTTTGTCTTTGTATACCCAACACTTGTCCCAAAATAGGTGCTTAGTTAATGCTTGTTGAATGAATGAATGATTTCATCATGACTTTCACTGACACTGGTCCTCTTAAAGCTAGGCTTTTTCCTAAGCCTTCTAAACCTGCTATGATAAACAAATCTGAGCTGGTAGGAAAGGGGCAGAAGTTTTTAGGGTTCAGTGGAGAATGAGCTTTTTTTTCTTTTTTCTTTTATTTAGTATTTTATTTTCCCCCAGTTACATGTAAAAACAATTTTTAACTTTCGTTTTTAAAACTCTGAGTTCCAAATTCTCTCCCTTCCTTCTTCCCCACCCCCACCCCCCATTGAGAAGGCAAGTAATTCAATATAGGTTACACATGTGTAGAAAGACTAACTTTTTAAACATCAATATATTCCTAGTGAATGAGTTATTGAATATCACTGTCTTCAAAGAATTACCTAGATAACAATGAAGAGATGAAGAATTGCTCAGGAGAAACATGTAAAGGGTATTTTAACTGAGAAATGGTTGACTGGGAAGAGAAAAATGCATGTCATATAGAAAAGAAGAAGGGATAAAGCCATTCCCCAAAAGATAAATGGTCAAATAATATCAGTAATCATATTAAAATGCTCTAAATCACTATAATTAGAGATATGTAAATTAAGGAACTTAGGGCTTTACCTCACAAATATGACAAAACTGGAAAATGGCAAATGTTAATGGTGCTGTGGGAAAACAGGTATGCTAGTACATTGTTGATAGAACTGAGATTTGGTTTGGCCATTATGGAAAGCAATTTGGAACTATGCCCAGGAGGTTACTAAAGTGCCCCAGTAATAACATTACTAGTCCTATACCCCAAAGAGATCAAAGGAAGAGGAAGAGAACATTTATGCACAAAAAAATTTATAGTAGCCCTTTTTGTAATAGTTTGGAATCGGACACTGAAAATTGGAAACTAAAGGAGTGTCCTATTGGAGAATGACTAAATAAATTGTGGTATATTAGTGTACTGGAATATTATTATGTCATAGGAAATGATGAAACAGACAGTTTCAGAGGAAACTGGAAAGACCTTTATGAACTGATTGCATAAAGTGAGCAGGAGTAGAACAATTTATATAGCAACAATATTATAGAGAAAAATGGATCTCTTCTCTGCTGCCAGGAGTCACACTCAATGATGTTGCTTTGATTGACCAACTCCTTTACTTTCTCATGAGTGCTGTGTTTCCTATTGGGCAAGTAGCTCCATTGTAAAGTGTCGTGACTGATAGCAGTGGGGAGGAAAGAGAAATCTCCTTCTCTTCCCCATTTCTCACTGATCTTTGGTAGAGGTGCAAGGGAGTCCAGTCTATGCCTCCAAAGTATAGCTAATGACTCTCAAATATTGCCTCCTTCTCCAATGAGGCAGAAGTGGGGAGAACATATGACAGTTATCTCTCTCAAAAAAGTGATCCTTTAGGCTCTTTTTCCATAGCTAGCCTTCTTTGAGTCTGCCAGGAGGTATATTCCTCAGAGTTTCCTGGACGATGCCTCCCTAAAAAGTTTGTTCTGTTTTTTAATGGATATCAGGAACATTGTAAATCTCCAACCAGCTAATATCTAGTTATTCTCTCATCCCATCAAGGGGAACTTCACATTTTTGCAAAGTGGTAAAAGAGTGTAGACTTTATCTTTGTATGTCATTTAACATGTTAACATTTTGTTGTCTCTGTTACTTGCCCCATCTGGAATTTCATTAACTGGTCTAGGGGAGAATAAATCAGAGGTTTCCTGACCCACAAACCTTGCCAGTACAGCTTTTTAGAGATGAAACTTCATCATATTAATTGACAATAATGATTCTGCTCCAAAGTTTAAGGGCCCCATTCACCTTATCATCTGGGCTAGGGAGGTGAACCATTTAAAGTACAATATACTCAAATGGATCATTGATCTTAACTATGTGGTGTTTCTTTCCACAGATAGTAATCTCCATGTTGGCCCATCCTGTGCTACTCCTATCCATGCTCTACCATATGTGTGCTATAGGGGGTCAGGGGTGCTGGGGCCCTTCCTCACTTTCTCTTGACATCTTGAAGCCACCAATAAAATATGTAAGTAGTCCATCAATTGTCCCTCACTTTTACCACATGACCAGCACATCTTTTCTATTCATAAATTTCTTCGATGACATCCTTTACACAGCTTCTCCTTCATAATTCCTTGCTTTATGGTATGTTTCAGCTGGCTCATGCCCACCATGTGCCTTTCCCTTGCCCTTTGAGTGATCCTCAATTTCAAATCCTCCAGGATTATAGTATTCCATGACTCATAACCATACAATAGCACCAAAAGAATTTTGTTATTAAAAAGAAGACTTCTTGTTTTAGGTAGAAACTTTGGCTCATTAAAATAATTTTGCAATTTTCTAAAGGCAATTCAGCCCACTTTCCCCCATCTATTTAATTCTGCACCCAATTCATTGTCCATTTGCAATATCTGTCCAAGATATTAGTACTAATGGATGAAATCTATAGGTGGCCCATTCAACTAGATACCATAGTCTTGAAAATAGGCTTTCTTCATCTACTTGGTTTTTTCTGTGTTGAATTCTTTTTTTTTTTAAGGCAATTGGGGTTAAGTGACTTGCCTAGGGTCACACAGCTAGTAAGTGTCAAATGTTTGGTCTGCGGCTGGATTTGAACTCAGGTCCTCCTGACTTCAGGGCTGGTGCTTTATCCACTGCTCCACCTAGCTGCCCCTCCTGTGTTGAATTCTTAAGATTGATTAGGGATATCTTTTAGGAGGCTTTACAATGCTCTAGGGCTTGCTACAATACGTACAATTTCATTCCCAATCTATAACATTTGGAGGACCCCACCATAGAACTCCTGCCTCAACTTGGACTTCTCACTGATCTAGGAAGCATATTGTTCCTGTTTTACATCTGGCTTGTTATTAATATTACAGGGTCTAGAAAACAAGCTTCTCCCTGCTGTGGTAGCTTTCCAAGTGTAAAAATCATTACCATTATTAAAGATTTTGCCTTAGCTTCTAGCAAGCTCTAGGCAAGTCATGGGCTTTTGTTGGAAAACTATTCTTCCCAACTCCCAACTCTCAAGATGAGCTGAAGGGAAAATTTCCAGAAAAGCTTCAAAAGCTTCCATGTCATCCATCTGCTCAAGATACCTCAGCAAAAAAGAGGGTTACCATAGCAACCTGGAGAGGAAGAGTACTGGGAAGGAACCCTGAAAGGGCTGGGGACTTGGGGCACAAACTGAAGGACCTACATTCTAAGCTACCACCAGTGGGTGTCAACCCTGGGCAATTAGTCTGCTTCTACAGCAACTGCAGATGACTCCCTTCTTTTATTCAGGTCCTTAGTTATGGTTACCTATGATCACAAGGCCCCTCTCCAAGGGCTGGTGGCCTGCCACCCACCATGTGTGTTGCACAATCTCCCAGCATCCTAGGGCTGAGAGAGACAAATGTCATGTCTTTCCCCACTTCTGCCTCATTAGAGAAGGAGGTAATATTTGAGGGTCATTAGCTATACTTCAGAGGCACTGACTGGACTCCTTGGAATAGGCTGTGGGTTGAGCTGCCCCCCCCCCCGCATGTCTGTACAAGTGGTTCAAGGAAAAGTCACCATCAGCTCAATAAAGGTAAAGGCACCATTTGAAGAGATAGGATCCCGAGGTCTCCATATATTCCATGTGAGTTCCCACCCTCGGCTCCACTCTTTTCCCTTCCCATAGTTGCCCTGGTAGCATCTCTCCAGGTCCTTCATCCTGCCCTCCATCCTAGTGACCAGAATTTCTAATTATGGCTCTGGGGGAAGAATAGAGGAGAATCACTCAAGTTAAGAAAGGCATGAAAAAATGGGTTATCTGTACTGTTTGATGAAATCCCCACACCAACGATGAATTCAAGTACTTCCAAAGAAGTATCCCAGCCTGTGTTATCTAACCCAGAACCAAGGTGGTCATGATGAGGATTTTAGGCTGGGCAGGAAAAGAGGGGGAGGAGAGAATGATGCTAGAGCAGGTCAGTAGGGCAGTGAGTAGGGACAGGGCCAGATCTTGTGTTCTTGTAGAAACCTGTCTATTCTACCTCCATCTAGGATTAATTCTTTCTATCTGATCTCTGCCATCACAGGTTTTTTTCTCTTCTTCTCTGTTGAGCCCCTAGTACTCATAAATTCTCTTCTAACCACCCTATGTAGAGACAATGTGGCACATAATGTCTTAAGTGCCAGATTTGGTATCAGAAGACTGGGTTTAGTCCTAGATCAAGCTCTGTTAGTTGTGATCACGTTCAAATCATCCCCCTTCTTATCTGTAAGATGGGGATGATAGTTGTGGGGAAAATGCTTTTGTATAGGCTTTAAGATTGGTATAATAATGACATTTATGTAGTACTTTATGTATATTAGCTCAGTTGAGCCTTTCACCCTCCTGTGATATAGGTACTAGAAAAGTGGGGAACAAGCATTTATTACTATTGGCCAGACACTGTGCAAAGAGCTTTACTAATAGTACCTCATTTGATTCTATTTTTTCCATTTTATAAGTGAGGAAGAGAAATTCAGTGACTTGACCATGGTGACAGAGCTAAAAAGGGGCAGAAGTGGGGTTTGGAGCCATGTCTTTTCATCTCTGAGGCCAGCATTAGAACCACAGTGCCAGGCTAACTCTGGAAACCACTGCTATGTTTATTTAAAAAAAGAATTGTGGTTACTTACCATCCTTTGAGAGTAAATCATCTTATTGTGAGACTATCACACGTAGGTAAGGAGTTAATTAAATATATTATAAACCAAATGGTTAGAGCTAAGAATTTTTTATCGATAAATTTCATTCAAAAACTGGTTTTTAAATCACATGTAAAGAGATTCCCAAATTGTTTGGTTTGGAGAATAAGGGTAAAAGATCATAGATTTGGACATGGAAGGTCAGAAATCTAATTCAACCGCCTCATTTTATAGCAGTGACTCAGAGAGGTTCAACAACTAGCACAGTGTCAAGCACATAGTAAGAGCTTAATAAATACGTGCTCCCCCCCCTCTTCACTAGAGAGTCAGCACAAGATGAGGTTTGGTCCCATGACTCCCAATCTCTCCCTCTTTTCACTCTAGCAGCCTGCCTCTCAAAAGTGAGGATTCAGTGGTTCTATAAATATATATTCTATAAAGTGCTTACTATAACTATAGTTCAAATGTGCCAGTGTTGTATTACACTTCTGTCCCAATGTTCATGCAATTTCTCAATATGTCAAGGATCTGTGATTTCATGGGGGCTGGAACTCTCTCACGAGGCAGACAGTACCCATCGACAATTTAGGGTCTCACAGGTTTGCCCAGAGCTCAGAAAGGAAAAGTGACTTGACTATGGGGACATAGCTCATGCCAGAGGTGGAATTTGAACCCAGGTCTTACCGACTCAAATCCAGAACTCTATTCATGATATCTATGACTGTCAGTTATTTCTCAAATGTTTGATAAATATTTTATTGATTGTCACCTAATCTTATTTCTCTGTTCACAACATGTACAGGGAATTCAGAAGAAAAAAAGGTCTAAAGGAAAACAAAGTAGTCAAATATCTTGAACAGAGTATTACATAGGGAAAAGCAGGAAACTTTTTTCTTCCCTTATTCTCTCCCTCCCTTCTTCCTTTCTTCCTTCCCTCCTTCCCTCCTTCCTTCTTTCCTTCCTTCCTTCCTTCCCAGCTGAGGATTTATTACAGCTCCTTGTTTCAAATACAAAAAGAACCTTACAGAAATAGGAAAACTCAGATGCTGGGTATCAATGAATACATCTTTCAATGTGTGGGACCCTTCCCAACTGGCTCTGAACAGCTTCTAAGGCAGCCGTAGCTGGGAAGGAAGACTGGTCAGGAAGGGGAGGTGGCCCCTTCACCTAAATGGACCCAAATAGTGGGAGCCAAGGTTTACCAGTGATGGATATCTGAGAGGGTCCCTTGAGAGGGAGCTGAGAAAGGACTTTGGGATAGGATGATGAATAGGTAGATTCCAGGGAGGAACAGGATTCAGCAGGGACTCTATCAGTGACAAATTTCCCATTGAAAGTCAACTCACAAGTGGGATTGAAATGAGGGACCAAATTATTATTTTTTTTATTATATGCACTTATCTGTTGACTGTCTCAAATATATTTTGGAGAATGATGAAAACAATAGCATGAACTATAAAAAGATAGTAGCCCCCTTCTTTGTAGAGCTGAGTCTAGGAAGGGGTCTGACCTCTAAATGCAGGCTTAACTCTTCCCCCATGAGCCTCCATCATGATATTCTGACTAACCTCTACCGGGGGGGGGGGGGGGGGGTTAATTTACATCATAGACCTGAACAAAACTTAATGGGCACCCTCACTTTTCTGGCTTCTGAGTTTGGAGGATGTTCAATGGGAAAATTAATGCTATTACATGACTCACAGCACTTTTCTCACTGGCAAGTAATTTAAAGGAAAGCCAACAATTTTGAAGTACCTTTTGTGGGCCTCAGAGTGTGGTAAATACTGTTTATGTGCCTATAGGTACTAAGTCTCACCTATATATCAGTGGGGCTCAGCCTTCCAGTCTAACGCTATGCGAGTCAGTCTGGGCTTGAGCAAAAGCTGGCTTTGCAGGATAGTGTAATTTATGTTTCTTTTCAGAACAGAGGGACCATTTTTGTTTGTTTGTTTGTTTTACCTTAGCTCTTTGTCTGGGGATATGAAGAGCCCTAGATATTTGCAGATTCCCTACAGCAAATGGCATTTCTCACTTAGGTAGGAATTTTTCATGCTATTTTTGGACCTGAGCAGCACTTGAATTTTAAAATATACACATAATGATTTGATTTTTAATACGAGTTAGTATTCCAAAGCAGTACTTCTGATGCTCTATCTTTTGACTCCTCTACTCAAGTGTTCCTATACTTCATCACTGATTGGGAACAATTCTGGAAACAAGGGCCGGTGGAGTGTAAGCTTTGGAAGGCCCTACAACCAGTCAGAAACGCTTTGAGAGTGGGTCTGGCAACAGACACAGTGTTTCTACTGTATGA